GCATCAAGTATATTAAAGTTGCCATTCATGTGTTTTCTAAATTGAGAATTTTCACTTATCATTTGAGGTTCATTCATATTACTTGAAAGTAAGTTCATATTACTTGAAGTATTTACACCATTTCTGACACTGAACCCAACCCCTTCCCCTGAAGGAACTAATTGGTTGAACTACCTTATACACACATACATTTAAGATGGTCATTGTCACATTATGTGAATGGTTTACATGTCTGCCTACCTCCACCGGAGATAGAAATTTTTTGAGTGAGTATCCTTGTCTTGTTCATCTTTGTACCTCCAATATCAACCAGTGCTTGGAACTTAGTAGGTATAATTAATTTCTATGAGTACCATTCATGACAATGATAATGAAAACTAGCAATATTTATACACTTTAAAAATTGAGCATTTTGAATCTGTTACTCCAAAGACAGTAGTAGACATGATTTGTTATTTTAAGGGAAATAGGTATAGTATTCTTACTGTTTGTTACAATTTTTCCCTGACAGTACAAACTTGTTTCTTTTTTCATTGAACAAATCTGTTCACTTTTGGCAATTCAATTGAGCTCAACAATCATAATAGTGGTCCTCTCTTATCCATGGTTTTATTTTCCAGAGTTTCAGTTATCTCTGGTCAACCATGGTTTGAAAGTATAAGTGGAAAATTAAGAAATAAACACTTCATAGGTTTTAAACTGGACGCAGTTTTGAGTAATGTGGTGAATCTTCTACTATCCCACTTCAGCTGTCTGGGACATTGTAGTGGATTGACCACTGGTGCTCAACTTATAACCCCTAGCTGAACTGAGAAAGCATGGTGCTGGGTGTGGGAGGCCCACCTGCGGACTGTTGCCAGCAGCATAAGAGGCAGACTTAGAGAAGAACAAAAAGGGTTTTGGGAACAAAAGAGGCTGTTGGGGCTGGTGGATGCTGTAAGGAGCTGTTGGTTGTTTTGGAGGAGCTCGTCATGCTGGCTTTCCTGATGAACTTGGCTGTTTTCATCCTCCAAAGAGCTTGGGACCTCGTTGGCACTGAGAATGGCTTTGGTTCACTTTCGGGGAGCTCTGTTCCTCACTTTGAGCATTGCTCCCTGGCTCTGGAGGGGAAGATGGTGCACTGCCAGTCTCCTAGAGAAGCTTGCTGCATTGGCTCCCTTGATGGGAACTCTGCCATCTTGATCATTGGAGGAGCTTGGGACCTCACTGTTGCTGAGGATGGCTGTGGTACCTTTCAGGGGAGCTCTGGTTCTTCTGGTTCTCCAGTGCAGATCCCTCAGCCTGCTAGCACAAATCCTTCATCCCGCTGGCACAGACTTCCTAGATTCCACCACTGACCTTTGGGCCTTTGCAGCACAGATCCATGAAACAGGCCTGCATGAGATATTGTTATGGGCTCTGGGCCTCCAGATGGACTCGTGGGAGGCACTGTTATAAGTTCTAGGTTTTCAGCTGGACTCATGCCAGACATTTCCATGAGATACAGGCCCTCAGCTGGATTCCTTGGTCTTGGTGTGTGGACAGATTTCCTGCACATTCTTTGCATATCATTCTTATAATCTTGTAAAATATGTGTTCTGCATATTATGTTGTGTTCTCCCTTGCAAAAATAATGCCCCAGACCAACACAGACATGAATCCTTTGTTTAGCATATCCTAGTCTCTAAGATGCCTGCCCACTAGTTGCTCGGTAGCCGTTTATCAGAGTGTCATGGTTTCACTGCACTGTGTTCAGATGTCTCTATTTTGATTAACAGTGGCACCAGAGTTCAAGAGTAGTGAAACTAGCAATTTAGACATGACAAAGAGAAGCTGTAAAGTACTTCCTTTAAGTGAAAAGATAAAAGTTCTCATTAAGGAAATCATATGTTAATGTTGCTGAAATCTATGGTAAGAATGAATCATAGTACATATAGGACTAGTATTTAGCAGAACAAACTTCAAGAAATGTTTGCTTAGCCATTTTTTACTGTTGAACATATGTTCCATAAAATCATATGCTAAGGTTTCAAGCTTCCACTAGGGTATTAAAATGTATCTGTCTTGGTCAGAGGGGAATGACTATACTGAACAATTAATCTATAGCAGGAGTTATACTAAGCCTCAAGTACACCAATATGATACATATAAATCCTCATAGGGGAAATAACTATTTCAATGTGACTGGAAAAATAATGGAAGCATGTAAAAGTAGTTTAGCAGAGGAGAAAATAACCTCTCAGGGAAAGAGATACAAGGAAAGACTTCCTAGATGACTTCCTAATTGGAGTGTGAAGATGAAAAAGAAATTTTCTCAAGCAGGTAAAGGGCAAGGGACATAAATGAAAGCATGGAGAGAAAAAGTACAACTATGGATAAGTAAAAACAGTCTCAGGAGAAGATGTTTTATTGAAAAAAGTGACTTTAGAAATTTAGACAAAGGCCAAATAAAAAGTCTTAACTTGGGACTTACGCCACAGGTGATGACAAGCTAGAGATGAAAATCCTCTCCACCTCTTTTCTGCATTAAGAAATATTTGTATTATATATATCCAACACATATCAAAATTTTGTATTATCATATAATTTTGTATTATTATGTTATACATAATACCTCAGGCATTTGGCTGAGCAGTGGATTATCTATGTTGTTCCTTTAAAGCTCAACATAAAGTACACTTTTGTTGCTAAGGAAGATAGACTAGACTTCTCTTATAGTTTCTATCTTCTGAATTGATCTTCAGCATAAACTTGCAAGACAGTATTTTCTAACTCTGTTGCTAATGCCAACACCAACACCAATCATTTCTGCAAGGCAGCAGATTTTTCAGCAACCCAGTTCATAAACTGTAATTAGTTTTCTATAAAAGGCAAATTATTTCCTTTCTAAATTTCAGCCTTTATTACATTTTTGTTATATATTAATATTTATAAATTCCTACTTGGAGTTAGGCCAAAGGAATCCACATCTTTTCAGCCTATAAGTTCTTCTATTTAAAATAGAATTTTCTATTATGAACTGATGTGGTGATGTAGTTTGTAATCCCAGCTACTTACGAGGCTGAGGTCAGAGGACTGTAAATTTAAGACTAGCCTCAGCAGCTTAGCAAGGCCCTATCTCAAAATAAAAAATAAGAAGGACTCAGGATGTAGCCCTGGGTTCAATCCCCAGTACCACTGAAAAGAAAGAAAGGATGATCATTAGAAAGAAGAAATAATACATGGAAGTCAGAATTTTTTGTTTTACCTAAGTAAGCAATACTACTATACAAATAGGTCTGGATATTAAATCATAGATTACACAGAGAAGTTATACATATATATTATATATACGTATTATATCAGTTAATTTTGTCTTAGAGGTTCAAAGGATCAAGTAAAGCATGTAATTTCAAAATCAGTGGTGGCAAAGAAAGGAATGAGCAGCACTAGTAACTTATAATTACAAACAGTAAATATGGCATACTTTTAATGTAAAAAGCATATTCCCAAATGTATTGCATACTAGTGTCCCACACATTTGAAAAAATCTCCTTATACCTTGATGAAAAACAAATGATCTGAACCTAGTGACTAATTTAGTATAGAAACAAAACTTTTAGCATTACCTGAGTTTACAATTAGCCTCCAATTATAAGAGAATCAGAGGCAAAGAAAATATGCTAAAATTGAAAAGAGTTGTAAATTTACATTAACTATGAGGATGAGTAACTTGAATGAGATGGTTTCTCAATTTGGGACTGGCTATTGTGAAGTATTCTTATCTCTAGGCTGTTCTTGCAGCTATGTACTCAAATCTTGCTGCTACAAGGGAACAGACAAGATTGTTCAAGATCTGGTCAAGCCTGGTGATCCCTATGCCTTTGGAAACGAAAAGCTAACTAAGAGGCTTCCTAGCGACAGGATAAAGGAGTTTTTATCCTTACTGCTCTTATACAATTCTTTAATGCATTACTCCTGGCCTTTCACTCAGTTTGCTGTAAAACTAAGTATACTTTGTGCAAGTTTTCACCTTTGCTTTCTCCACTGTAAATGCATCATTAAACTATTAGAACGAAGAGTTTTAAATCCCTTGTCCTTGACCTCTAAATTTATTTAAGTAGGGGGCCAGGGATATAGTTCAGCTATGCAGCGCATGGTTGGCAACTGCAAGGTCCTGAGTTTGATTCCCAGTACTAAAACAAAAAATTAATTATTTAATTAATTTAAATATTTTTGAAAAGCGATCAACACTAAAAATTGTTCTAGAACTTTTTTCAGTTAACCATTTTAATGTTTAAGAATCTGATTAAATGGTTACAAAGTACTTTAAATATGTTTCTAGTAAAGGTATCTGATAAATAATACATTGTCAATTTTGTTTTATTCTTTTAATTTCAGATTGTGGTAACATGAAATTACTTGGCTTAAATTCCTGTTGGAATCATACTGACATTGTTTCGCTTTGAACCAAGTTTAGAGTTGGCATCTTTAATCTTTTGAAATTCGATCTAAACTATTTTACAGGCTGCGGGAAGCCATTCATGTCATTTCCTTGATGGCAAAATAAGGCATAATAGAGCACCTTTATATTTTTTACATCCTTCCGTCCTTGCACAAAAAATTAGCAGTGATGTATGTCAAACAACTTTGTAAGGATGAAAACGCTCTATGCAGTTAAGACAATTCTGTGTGAAAGTTTTCCATATTTAGGAAGGTGTGGACACCTCTCCAACCTTGACCAGCAGGGCCACCATGTTAAAATTTCAACTTTTAATTTGGGGTTCAAACCCTGACATTTAACTATAAGTTTTTTTCTTAGGAACACATCTAAGAGTCAAGATAGGCTTCAGGATGCATGCTAACCCTTACCACACCAATACTCTAAGCTACACTCTGAACAGAAAATCCGGTCTTGCTCTAGTCAGGAAACACCCGCTTCCTACGTGCCGCGCTATCGCTGCACCTGGTTGGGGTTCGTGCTTGTCCGTCACACAGAGAGGGTGGGACTTTAAGGCCTTGAGCTAAGGGAGACGCTGGATTGTTACGTCATCCCAAAGCGACAAAAGCATGGTGGGGGTAGGGTTGTGATTGTACCTCGGTGGTGTTAGGGGCCTCTTGCGAAGGTGTCATGGCTGCTACCACGGATCCTAGTCACCCCAACAGCAGTGACAAGAGTCTAGAGCGAAGCTGCAGCCCCAACCTCTCCCGAGAGGTCCTGTGCGAAATCTTTCGCTCCCTGCACACCTTGTCTGGACAGGTAAGTGGGGTGTGGAGACCCATCCAGCCCCTCCTCCCTTTATCGCTCCAGTGGAGGGCGGGGTGCAGGGGAGCCCTGGCCTGCCGGGGTGTGAGACGAGGCGACCGCGTAGCTGAGGCCGGGGGAGGAGCCCAGGCCTAGTGGCCTGCGATCGGAGTGAGGGTGGTTGCCCGGGCTTAGTTCAGTGCGGGTTGCCGACCAGATTACCTTGCAGCTCTCCTCCCTAGGCGTGAGACAGAAAGCCGGCTCCGAGAGGGGCACGCTTGTAGAGGATGAACGCGCAAATGCTTCCCTTGAGGGTTTAGGAGGCTCCTTGGGCTCAGGGTCTTCCTTCCTGCAACCTATACTTTATAGAAATTGGTTGCTCAGTATGGCCTGAGGGTTTTGGAAAAGCGCCCTCTTTTCCATTTTGGAGTGATTTGCTCTTCTGAGTCACTTGGTTTTGTTTATTTCTGTGTTCCTCCTGGCCGTTGTATGTTACCCTTTCAAATAAGAAGAAAAGTAAAAGGAATTAACGTGAAATATCGCTAGTGTAAAATCGCATGAGTTATCCGTGGCCGATTCTGATTGTATTAGAACTTTTGCTTTTTAGCTAGTTTAATTTTCTGATAAATCGCTTTTGCAGAAATGTGAAATTGGGGTTTTTTTAAAACTGGGCTCTTTACGTTCTTTTAGATGAAAACACTATTTCGTTTCATGATGTAATCAAGCAGTTTTTAAATGAGAAAGAAAAATGTTTGCCTGCATTTAAAAATACTTCTTTTTATATCTTACATGGTCTGTTTCTTAGTTTGCTCTGCAGCCGGTACTGTTGCATGTAGTGGACACTGCAGGCATTTATGTCAAAGATAATGCTCAGTTCCTGTGAAGATAGAACATATGTGTGTGTCATTGGTGACAGTTATCATTGAAAGCCGTAGGTGGATGGAGAAATCAGTCTTTTTTACAGTTATTTTGGGTTTTGTTTGTTTTTTGTTATTATTGCTTTTGCAATGAAGCAGTTATTAACAGTATCTCCTAAAAGACAGCTTTCAAACTCAGTATGCTAAGGACTTACAAAAAAAATTTTGAGACTTGGGAACTTTTGATCGCTATCAGCGTTTCAGTCTTAAACTACTAGACTTTTAAATAATTTGAAAATTAAAGAATTGTTTTATGGAAAGGACAGTTGGAACTTTAAAGCTTACTCATTTTCTAACATCAGGATAAAAATATTTATGCTCACCTATTATTTACAGAAGTTTTAAAAACTAACATTGAAAAGTGATTATGATTTAAATGTCTCTTAAAATATTTTACATACTGAATTTAACTCACCTAAAATTTTTAAACATTCTGGTATTTTAAAGGTACAAATACAGAAGTGACTGAATTTTACATATATCAGCTGTGAAAAATATTCAGAGTAAATATCTGGTTTTACAGTGACACAATAAATAAAAATATTCAGAGTAAATATCTGGTTTTACAGTGACATCTATAGAAGTATTAAAAATAAGATTGTTTCATAAAGTAAATGCTAACCATTTTGGTAATACTCTATTTTGAGATGCACTGAAATGAAAGCCAGAATATATACTTACAAAATTGCCCCCACAAAGTTAGTATTTCCTTTTGCAATATATATAAAGGATTTCTAAAATGCATGTTGTATAGTAATTTGCCTAAGTTCATCCTAAGTATCATTGTATTACCTCTGGAAGGTAATAGGAAGATATATTGTATTATTGCCTTAATATGAGACATAAAATTCACTGTTAAAAAGTATTTCCTGCTCCAAATTGCAAAATTTATTAATTTTACCATTTTTACTTGCTTCTGGATGGCTCATTTTACACAGTTAATTTAGTGTTAGCATGGATTTTGTATTAATAACTTCCTATTGAAAACGAATCTTTAATTAGTAGCATACTAATGGAGATTTTTGAATGAATATTTTACTATTCCAAAAATGCATAGAATTCATATTACTGATAGGCAACTTGTTGACTAATTTGACATATTGAGTTTATTTTAAAATTAATTTGTAACACTTTGATGTAGTTTTCTTAAAAGACCAAGAATCCTTAATTATACTTAAAGGCTTACATAATTCTGTTGAATTGAAATGAGAATATGATCCAGACATTAAGATTTATTTTCTGTAGGCTATTTCCTCTAGGAAAATATCATGCTTTTCATTGCTGGAGGATGTACTTGCTTTTTTCCAGACTGTATTCATAAATTTGCCATAATTGACTTTAGATTTCTTAGAGTACTAGAAAAGTATAGTAACGGGTTACTTTTACACATAACGTATGTTGCAGGCATTAAAGTAATATCAGTTGCATTAAATGCATTAATCATAATGTAAAATCATAATTAACATAAACTTATTCAGCCTATCTAAAATTTCATATTCTTTACACTTGTCTGACATGGACTTTAAATGCTTCTGATTTCATGTTCAAAGGGCAGTAAATTTCTATCACATAGTGTTTATTCAATATGCTGCCTCTTGTAATCAGAGATCACTTTGATTCTGTGTACAATGATTCATATTTTTGTTTTATCATTGTAACTCCTGAGATCTGTATTTGAACTTATATAACGTGTCATTAGTTTTTAGAATATGTGACTTATTTTTAGTAAATTATTTCAGAGAAATATAACATAATTAACTTCATTCCATTATGGAATATTATTTTTCTACTATGCTATAAGCACATCTCTAGAAATGTTTATGAGGGTTCACTTTTACTGTTACTGCAGATGGAGGCTGTCATCTAAAATTTTCACTGATTTTGATATTAATTTTATAATCAGGTTCTTAGTTTCCTGGGTATGATTTTGTTCTGCTAGATCACCAACTGATAAGAAATAGACATGTAATGAGACCTCATAGCTTACTAGAAAATACCACTTAACATAAACACTGGACATTCCATCCACTTTCTGCCCAATTGTTTCACTAGAATGGAGGTGTTTTTTTTTTTTTTTCAGTTTCAGACTTCCATAACTAAATAATAGTTCAATTTTTATTTGTAGATGAACATTTTGCTACTTATCCCCAGATTTTATATGAATGAATAACCTGGATATTTAAATTATTTTTTAAAATGGTTAAAGTTGAAAACAATAATATCATTATTAAGACATCAGAATAATGTATCATGATTATTTCAGATATGTATTTGTGTACATATTTAACAGAGAAAAATGCACATATTAGAACTCTGATAAAACAGTTGTACCTTCTCTGTTTAATGCCTGACCTGGAAGTGGTAGGGTTCTGAATAAGGCAAACATATTTTGGACTTTATCCAAAGATATTTAGATGCTGAAGTACCTTCATTTTTTTTTTTTAATCTTTCATAGATAGTTTCACCTCTGAGATGGTCCCATTACACAGACCTAAGAATCCATTAAATTTGAGATGTCATTTTTTTTTTTATGAAATGCTGCATCTTCTCGGCCTTTTAAAATGATAACTAGGCAGAGCATTTTAATGTATCATTAAAAACTTGATAACTTTAATAGGCATGTGTTACTCCATAGAAGTCTTATTTTTGTGGCAATCCCAGATATACAGCTTAATCGTGTAATTTTTGTGATGTTGCTGGTTTGCCCCTTTGAAGCTTAACCTCAGAGATGATGTGGTGAAAATTACAATCGATTGGGACAAGCTCCAGAGCCTCTCGGCATTCCAGCCTGCATTGCTCTTTAGAGCACTTGAACAACACATTTTACATTTACAGGTAAATTTCTTGCTAGAAATTTAACTTGATATCACAGACAGAAATTAATTGTGGTTAAATTAGCTGTGTGCATATTGGTCAGTTCTGTCTTAACACTATATTAATACTGTTATCAATAAAAGATTACTTATATCCAGATTGGTTCTAAATCTGTTAATTTCAGTAGTGATCAGGGCAGTTACAGGAATATAGCCCAATAAGCCGATGTGGGTATGAGATTGAGTGCGTACAATTCTATTCAATTCTAGACTTGCACCGAAAATTCAATACAGTTCCATCTATGGTGGGTTATAATTAAGCAATAAGACACGGCAGGTGTGTGTCATGCTATGATAATGATTCCATGCCTTGGGTGAGTTTGGAGGCTCATAGAGTGCTTTCACTGGTTCAAGAAGTGGCATTATCCCAGCATGACACATCCTGGAGTGTCTGTTGCAATTAAACAGTTTCAGCATAGTTTTTAAAAAGAAAGTAATTTCTGTGACATTAATGTCTCATCTTAGTAAGTAGCCAGTCACTATTTTATCTTAACAGTTTGAAATAATTCAACCTTGGTATTAGAAGTCAATATTGAATTATTATTTATAATAATATACTTTTTTATATATTTTAGTTCAATAACTGAACAGTATTATGACCCGACTGGTTTCTAATTGAACATCTCTACAGTTATAATTGATGTATGTTGCAATTTATTTCTAATCAACATGTAAGATATGAAGTGTCAAAAAGATTAGTAGAACTGTTTGGATTGGTCACTTTACTGTGATTAAGGTGTTAACAGGGCTTCAGGAGAGTAGTATTTGGTATATCAAACAATGGAAGCAAAATTGTAGCTATGAAAAAAGTAATTATAATATTGGTTAAGTGTTGGTGTGTTTTGACTAATGGAGTAGGCATTAATTTTCAGCCCTCTATTCAGTGACTTTGTAGGAAAATTTAACTCTGTGTTTCGTATTAAAAGTAGTAGTTAACCCTGTTTTTAAAGGGCAGAGCAACAAGCTGTAGAACTCAAATGAAACCTAATTGTGGCAGGGGGACAGGGTTAGAGAAGTACACGGGTAATATAATTTACATTATGCAACAAGGCTTTCTCCCCTCTAGTTTAGTGATAGACATCTGTTTACAGCTATGGATCTTGCTAGTTTTTTTCTTATTCATTTTTTTTTGGTAAAACTTAATGTTATGACCCAAAAAGATAGCTTGCTATGCCAGGAGAAGCCTGAATGTTCACTGAGCATAACGCCCCTGTGTGTCATGTCCATGCCCCCTCATTCATTTTGGCCAACTGCAGTTTCAAGTGGAGCATCCCAGTGCTGTAGTGATACCGTGGGGCTTTGCTAAGGGAGAGGCTGGCTGTCCTGTGAAGCAGGGAAAATGCTAAGCCTCAGTGTTCAGAAAAGGCATCTGAATGACATGTTAATTAAGTGGCATTGGTGCCAGAGGCTTATGGTTCTGATTTGGCATAAAATATAAAAGATGAGTGACAGAATGATTTCCTCAAAGAAAATTTTAAAATTTTTCAGGTTTTCTTTCTTTTTCTTTTTTAAAAACAAATTTATAACAATGGTTAATGGTCACAGGAGCAGAAAACAGCAGACACTTCTATGTGGTCAAACTTATGTATGCTTGTGTGTCAACTTTTTATATTTAGTAATTGATAGTAAATATTTCATTTGTTTAGAAATTTATAGAACTATATTAAATGTGTAACTGATTGTGGTTAGTTTGAACCCTAGCAGATGGAATTGTATTCTTCTCAGCCTTTTTTAGCAAAACTTCAGCCTGTGATTAAAGAGGAGAATTCAGCTACCATTGAAGAGATAGGAAAAACAGAAGCAGGGAACCAGAATGAACTAAATGCCAAATTTCCCACTGGTGACCAACAAGAAGAAGAAAAGCACAAAGATGGTGATTTAGGTGATGTGAAAAAGACACAAATCCATTTTGATCCAGAAGTAGTTCAAATAAAGGCTGGAAAAGCAGAAGTAAGAAGTTTTGGGGGGCAAGAGGGAGACAATATTACTTTTAAAAGTCTTACTGTGTTTACATTTTTGAACTGTACTTGTTTGTAGATTGACAGAAGAATATCTGCATTTATCGAAAGAAAGCAAGCTGAAATCAATGAAAACAACGTCAGGGAATTTTGTAATGTTATTGATTGTAATCAAGGTAAACTACCTAGAAGTTAATTTTCATAGGATTTTAAGCACAATTTTGTAGTTGCACTTTTTCTTTCTTTAAAAAAAAAAAACAGTAAAAATACAATTCATTTTACAAGTTTTTAGTAACTAAAACAGTAGAATTTCCTTCTGTTTAATAATAGACTGTATTGCAAAACATATGTTCACTTTGGTTATATAAAAATCAAATGGCATTAATAAAAGACTAATGTGTACTACAAGTTTAAAAGGTTATTTTAAAGTTCCTCTAGCAAATGAAAATGAAGTGTATAGGGTGGCAAGATTGTTCAGTCTCACTGTTATGAAGGAACTAGGCAGTATGAATTTCAAGCTTGTAAATACACTTGTGAAATTGTGGTAAGACAGTGAACTTGGTAAAGTTAATAATATTCCTCAAGAGGGAGTAGTTTTCTCATTACTCCTGTGTTGCAGTGTTTTATGTCACTATACAACCAATTTATCATGAAGACCATGGTGCCTTATGCTCTTTTCCTTTCTCTCTTAGTGCATACATTGGCTGTTTTTCATCAGATTCTTCTTTCCCTCTTCACTTGATGCTGTAGTACTTTTACAGATCTGCAGGTATGCTGCAGAATACACAGCATTGCATAACACTGCCATAGATCACATTCAAGCATCGTAGTAATAATCAGAGCAAGTAGTTCTTAGGAAAAATTATGGAGAAGAGTTCATAATTAGAATGAACATTTTTCTTGTTGCTTCTAGTATCTCTTGGCTAATTATTATGAACAAGAATTGTCAGATGAACCTAAAAGTGACTCGTATCATGTAGATGTACTGATTCTCTTAATGAAATAGTATAGGCTCAGGTTGGGTCCTAAATTCAACTTTTTCTACTATTAACATTTACATTTGCCTTTCGATTTGGTATGTTTTCCTCTTAGCTTTTTAGAACAGGTACAGCAGGGGGAAAAATCTCAGGTAGCACAGTCCAACTGCAAGCAACCCATGAAAGAAGGTTTGTTGAGGGAGCAATCACATGTGTCACTAATGTTATTCCTCTGTTCTCCTTGCTAACTCTATTATTATAAACCACCAGGGATAGAAATTGACAAGAATTGAAATGCTCAGCAGGATCCCTTGGCCTATTCAATCCTTTGCTGGCTCAAAACAGTGCTGGCAAGAATTGATGTGGAGAGTGACTAGCACTCACACATTCACTATCTTCACACCATGCTGAATTTCTCACTGATGGGTCAGTTAATCTGTATATTTGGAATGTAGCTCTGAAATGGATGATAACTTCTTTTTTTAACCCTTAACTCCATGAAATGGTAGAAAGAGAATGGAGAAGTAATAACCCTTTAAGCATACTTTAAGGTGTCTCCCCCCAAAAAGAAGTGACTATTTAGTCTCTAAATGTAAAAGAGGAGTGGATTTGGAATTTTATTCACAAAATTTGACTTATCAGCAGAACTGTTAATGAAACTTAAGTGCAAAAAATACATTTTAATGTGTTCCTTTTAAGACCTCTCAATTTGACCTAAATAAATGATTGAGATTTTTTTAAAAAATAAAATTCTACAGAGAAGAAAGAGAATTTTCTTTCAGTATTTCTTTTTTTATAAAATATTTAAGGGAATCTTGCAGAAAATTTACTGTCAATGCATAGTTTTACTAATGTTATCTCAGACATTTACATTTTTACTGTATAGCATCATATATTGTAATATGTTACATATAATATGTTATAAGTTATGATATGTAACATAACTGTCAATATATAACAATATTAATAGTATTAGATATTATGTTAACATTGTCCAAATTTGCTCTTTATAATTTCTTTATTAATGTCTAATTTAAAAGAAATTATATTTTCAGCTTGGAAAAAAATTGGAACAAATTTTCACAACATGGCTATCCTAAACTTGCAGTTTTTGAAAATGGAAGAGTAGGAAGAAGTAGAAGACTTTTTGTGATTAGTTTTTACATGTTCGTGACCAGGCCGTAATTCATATGTCTCACTGCCAGGCGGCTTGAAGTACCATTGGTGTGTGCATAACTGTCCCATCAGGTGGCTTCTTACTAATTTTATTAGTAAGACACTAATAAAAGTGATTGGAACCGTTTGTACCATCAGTGGTATAAGCTGCCCGATGGGACAGTCATGCGTGTACCACCTGTGGTTCAAGCTGCGGGAAGGTGTTAAGTGAGTACTGGAAATCTAGATGGAGTGGGAAAGTATGTGTTATAGCTGAGGTTTCAAGATCTTCTATGAACAGTTCTGAAATTAAAGGTTTTAAATATATAATCAATCCATTTTATTAGATGTTTGCTGATTTGGCTAGTGATGTCAGAAATGCTGGATTTTAATAAAAGAATGTGTTAGAAAAATGAGTCCTATTTCTGTGAAGGAGAATTAAAATATGGTACTCTATAATATATAAATTATTTTCTCCAAAGGCCCGAATACTTTTTAGAAATATTGTGTTTTCCATTAAAAATTGTATTGTTATGATATTTTATGGCTTTTCCTAATGTAAATCTGAATATTAGGTTAAATATTAGGTGTTCTGATTCATTTTAGAAAACAAATGTCACTCAACTCTATATATGATGGTAATTTAATTAATACTGTTATTTAAATTTATATTTACTTATAAGTAATGTGTTAATATGAATTATTAGAAGTTTATCAAACTCTCCAGTGTTTGAAATTAAGAATCTATTAAAATTTATATTCATCTGAATTACCCTTAGAAAATAGTTGTGCAAGAACTGATGCCATTTTTACCCCTTACCCTGGATTTAAAAGTCATGTAAAAGGTAAGTAACCACATACCATTGTCACCAACAGAAGTGTATTCTAGATTATTAAAAAAAGAAATAGAAATAGTATACCCATCTAAATTTTATTTATTTTAAAACTTAGTTACTTTTTCTCATTGCTGAGACAAAATACCCGACACCCAAAGTTAAAGGTGGAAAACTTTATTGTAGTTCACCGTTTGTAAAGGTTTCAGTCCTTAGTCAGCTGGTTCCAAGGCAGGGTGGCGTGGCAGAAGGAGTATCACAGAGGAGAAATAGTTTTTGGCAGGCAGAAGCAGCAAGCAGCAAACAAGAGACAAAAGCAAGCCTCTTTCTGTCTCTTATTTTTTTCCAGGTTGTCCACTTTTAGAGTGGGTGGCATTCACACTGAAGGTAGACCTTCTGTAATCCTAGCATCACACCATGAATCAATCCCAGCGTCACATCACATTAATCCCAGTATCACACACTCTAGATTCAGCCTCCTGTGAAAAAGCCTCACCTATGACTACATGAGATGTTGGGGAGACATCTAGAAACAAGCCATAAGAAACAAAACAAAATACTGCCTTTCTCAGCCTTGGATTGTGGTTAGTTATCTTTATGGAAAGAATATAAAGTACTGTTAGGGAGAAAGAATTTCTGTTTTTAAAAGTAAATTCACTGTAGCTTATAAGTTTCTTAACTTAGTTTCTAGAGTTGTAAATACGTATGGACCACAAACTAGACCTGAAGGAATTCAGGGATCAGGTCATAAATCTAACAGCATGCATCGAGATTGTGGCAATCAGGCTGTAGAAGAACGACTACAGAATATTGAAGCTCACTTGCGATTGCAGTCAGGTAAGCAAAGTGTCAGGTGGTGCCCCATGGTGTACCTTTGCAAGTGGTTAAAGAAATTCCAATTCTTTAACTGAATGCCTGTCATGTACAGTTCTGTCTGTTACAAAAATGGATAAAGCACTAACTACTTTCAAGGAATTTACAGTTTTTGTTGTATATACTTTGCTTCCTTTTTACTTCTTGCTAGTCTCTAAAATTGAGAAAGTCTAGTAGAGTGGAAGAGGTTCCAAATAGAACCTGACAGCCTGTTTATTGAAGTCATAGCTAAAAACTAATGTCTTTTGCTAAAGCCAATTTCAGAGCTTACAATCTTAGTTGTCACCTACTGTACTAGGTACAAAGTGTTGATAAATATGGTTCTAATACTGAGGGATCTCTCAGTGAGGGTAAGCATATAAATCATAAATTAATGCTATGGGAAAGTGAACATTTATTGAACATTACCGCCAGTCACTCTGAAAGTATTATACATATGTCAGCTTAGTACTTGACAGTATCCTTTTGAGGTGTTGATGCTGTTGCTGTTGTACAGATGAAGTTGTTTAGTTTCAAAGAGCTCAGACATTGTGCCCAAGGTAGTAAGTGACAGCTGGAAAAATGATCTTCTACTCAGCTAAAAATTCTTTAATGGTTTTCTGTAGGCCTACATGCACACCAAACATAGTAGTTAACCATTTGTTCAATAGCATTAAGCTCTTGTTTAAGCCACTATTCTAGATACTGAGACTACATCTGAACAGGAATCGTACTTGGAGGAGGTAGGTGGTATAAATAATAAATAACATGGAATGTTAAAATAAAAGGGCTAATGATAAAAGTATCTTGACCAAGAGAAGGGCAAGGAGATTGGGACTAAAAGAAAATTAATTTTAAAGAGAACAGTCTATGCATTAATTCCAGCCATATCTCTGGGCTTTCCCGCTCCTGCACATTTTGCTATCCAATGGCCTTTGTACCTGTACTTTGCTTGTTAATCCCAGATCAGTGTGAATTCCCTTTTTTTAGAGCTTCATAGCACCTGGTACTTCCTGCCGTCCTTTAAAACAGTCATTACAGTTGTGTTTGTTTAATGTTCATGTGTCCAGCTAGGTAGTAGGATCTGTGAGAGTGGAACCTTGTCATGTTCATTACCATTTATACCATTGAACACCCAGCACAAAGCAGGTGCTCAAATGTTTACTGAATGAACAGTTAGTTGCCTGTTTCACATTTTCAGATAATGTACACAGTGGCTGCTGTGAGATAGTTAAGTGCTAAGCTTTTTCAGGGAAGGTCAACGTGTGGCATTCCTGATGAAGTGACGTTTGAGCTCTTGAAGGGAGCAAAGCATCCCCAAAGAGGAAACTGCAAGAACAAAGCATTCCAAAAAGAAGGAATAATGTCCACCACAAAAGGAAGTTACAATTTCCAAATCCAGTATAGTTGGGATATTTGCTGGATGGAGGTACAAGAGGGTAAGGGAAAGAGTTAAGTCTTTGAGGGCAACAAGACATTAACATTAAGAGGAAATCCCCTCATCTAGAAACAGATGCACTTAAAATGTAGTTGTATACAAGAATTGACTGATGAAGTCTCTGATAGTATCAAGAGGTTAATTTTTTTAACGAGAAAGAAAATAACAAAATAGTTTCAAAACGGGTTAGTACGAGAGTTACAGTAATTAATACATTGTGTATTGTCTTCATAGCAGTTATTCAGAATACAAGATACAGGCATGATATCTTGTCCAAACAATATTAGCACAGACCTTTCCTTGCAATGAACTAAGACAAACTAGCTGTATAACTATCTTAACTATCTTGTGTATATGTATGTTTATTTCTTTTTCCTTTTTTTCCTTTCCCCTATCACAGTTTGTCTTTTTTCTTTTGAACAGTTTCTTGCCAATTCACAATATCTGTTGTACATTTTGGATCTTTCTTACTCATTCAGTCTCTCACACGAATGAGACAATATGATGTTTACGCACATGGGTCTGATTTATTTCACTTATGACTGTGGTCTTGAGTTGTATCCATTTACCTATAAAAGTCTCCTGTTTATCTTTCTTTATGGCTGAGTACTACTCCATTATGTAAAAAGAACCGCATTTTTTTTTATCCATTCCTTGTTTGATGGGCATTTGAGTTGTTTCTAAGATTGAGCTGTTACAAATTGTGCTGCTAATACCATGGTGTACATATGTTCCTGTAGTATGATGTTTTTAATTCTTCTGGGAAGATACCCAGAAGGGAAATAGCTGGGTCGAATAGGACCTCAAATCCTAGTTTTTTGAGAAATTACCACCCTGATTTCCACAATGGTTGTACCAGTCTACACTCCCAGCAACAGTGGAGAAGGGCTCCTTTTTCCCCACAGCCCCTCCAGTATTTGTTATCAGTTCATTTTTTGATGATAACTATTCCTTCCGGGTGAGATGGAATCTCAGTGTTGTTTTAATTTGCATTTCTTGAATGACCAATGATGTTGAACATTTTTTCTTTTTTTTTTTTGAGACAGGGTCTCACTATGCAGTTCAGGCTGGTTTTTAAGTCACTTTGTAGCCCAGGCTGGCCTCAAACTCGCCATCCTCCTGCCTCAGCCTCCCAAGTGCTAGGATTACAGATGTGCACCACCACACCCAGCTCCATTTTTTCATATATTTATTTGCTGTTGGCATTTCTTCATCTGAGAGGTGTGTATTCATCTCAGATGCCCATTTATGGGTTGCGCCTTTGAATTTGGGGTGCCTGGGTTTTTTTTTTTTTTTCAGTTCTTTATATATTCTAGATATAAGTCCTTTGTCTGAGGGACAACTGGCTATAATTTTTTCCTGCTCTGTGGATTGTCTTTTCACTCTGTTGGTGATTTCTTTTGTTGTGCAAAATCTTTTTAATAAGGTGAGATTCCATTTATTGATTTTTTGTGCCACTTCCCTTGCAGTCTGGATTTTGTTCATGAAGTCTACCTACAGCTATGTCTTCAAGATTTCTATGTATTTTCTCTTCCAGCAGATTTAGCGTTTATATTTTAATATTTAGATCTTTGATCCATTTTTACTTTAATTTAAAGAGACAGTCTTTCTTCCAATGAACATGTTTAGCTCCTTTGTCAAACATAAGCTAACTGAGTATGTTTGGGTTCTGTCTGCATCTTCTATTCTATTCCAGTGATCCTCAGGTCTGTTCTTTTGTCAATACCATACTAATTTTGTTACAGTAGCCTTATAGTGTAATTTCAGGTCTGCGATTGTGATGGCTTCTGACTTGTCTTTGTTGCACAGAGTTTCTTTTTCTATTCTGAATCTCTTCTAGTTCCAAATGAATTTTAGGAATGTTATCTCTAGATCTGTGAGATATGCTAGTGGTATTTTTTTTCTTTTTTTTTTTTTTTTTTTTTGCTGATGGTATTTTGATTGTGATTGCATTAAATCTGTATAGCCATTTTGGGAGTATGGCCACTTTTACTATGTTGGTGTTTCCTATCCAAGAGCAAGGGATATCTGTCCGTTTTCTGATATCTTCTTCAATCTCCTTTTTTAGGGTACTATACTTTGCACTGTACCAATCTTTTATATCCTTTGTTAGATTGATTCTTAAGTATTTCATATTTTTAGATGGTACTGTGAAGAGTGTGCTTTCCCTAATTTCTCTCTGTGTGAGTTTGTTGCTTATGCATAGGAATGCTATTGATTTTTGAGTGTCGATTTTGTATCCTACTACACTACTGAATTTGGATATTTAAACTACAGTTTTTTCGTGGAATTTTTGGCATCTTCTATGTAGAGTATCATGTCATCTGCAGATAATGATGATTTAAATTCTTCCTTTCCTCTCTTTATTCCTTTTATCTTCTTCTATTGTCCAATTGCTCTGGTTAATGTTTCCCTAACTATATTGAACAGGAGTGAGGATAATGGACATCCTTGTCTTGTTCCTGATTTTACAGTGAAAGCTTTCAGATTTTGACCATTTAATATGATGTTAGCTGTTGGTTTGTCATAGGCGGCTTTTATCAGATTGAGGTAAAGTCCCTCTATTCCAGTTTTCTATAAGGTTTTTATCATGAATGGATATTGGACTTTGTCAAAATCTTTTTCTCCATCTGTTGAGATGATCATGTGATTTTTGCCTTTGGTTCTATTAATATGTTGTATTCCATTTATTGATTTGCATCTGTTGAACCAGCCCTGCATCACTGGGTATGAATCCTACTTGGTCATGATGTATAATCTTGATGATACGCTGCATTCTGTTTACTAGTATCTTATTAAGGATGTTTGCATCTATGTTCATTAGGGAGATTTACCTTTAGTTTTGTTTCTTGGTTGAGTTCTTCTTTGGTTTTGGAATCAGAGTAGTACTTGCTTCCAGGAATGACTTTGGAAGTACTGCTTCCCTTTTCAATTTCTTTAAAGAGTTTCAGTATTAGTGGCATTAGTTCTTCTCTAAATTTCTTGTAGAATTCAACAGTGAATATGGCAGGGTCTGAGTTTTCTTTGTTGGTAAATTTTTTATTACATTTTCAGTTTAGTTGGCTAATATAGGATCTTGGTTTAATGTTGGCAGTTTGATTGTATCTAGGAATCTGTTCATTTTTTTCTGTGTTTTCCATGTTATTATAACATAGTTCTCAAAGTAGGTATTGATGATCTCCTGGATTTGACTGGTTAATGGTTTATCAATTTTATTCTTTCACAAAACTAACTTTTCAATTCATTGATTCTTTGTTTTGTTTTCTTAGTCTCTATTACACTGATTTGTGCTGTTTTTAATTTTCTCCATCATACAGGCCTTGGGTTTGATTTGTTCTTTTTCTAGAAGTTTGAGGTTCAAGATTTGATTGTTTATTTGAGTGCATTGTGTTTTCCTGATGTGTGAGTTCATTGCTGTAAGTTTCCCAGGTAGGAGTGCTTTCCTTGTGTCCTACAAGTTTCAGTATATTTTATCCTCATTATTATTTAATTGTTTATACTGTTTAATTTCATGTTTAATTTCCTCTGTGACCCATTGGTTATTCAGAAGGGTGTTGTTTAATTTCCATGTGTTAATGTACTTTTACTGGTTTCCTTTGGTGTTGATTTCCAGTTTCATTGCACTATGGTCAGATAGTATGCATGGGATGATTTCAGTTCCTCTACATTTATTTAAACATGTTTTGTCAGCTAATATATAGTCTATTTTGGAGAACGTCCCATGTGCACCTGAGAAGAATGTGTATTCTGATGGTTTGGGGGTGGAACACTCTCTAGACATCTACCAAATCCATTTGTTCACAGGCTTGGTTTTGTCTAAAGATTAATTCTTTTGGCAAATTTTTGTTGAATGCTCACTATTTGCCAAACACCATTTTTAAGAACAAAGAATACTGAGATGATGTAGTCAGAGGCCTCAGCTTCAAGGATTTTATAATCTGGGTGGAAGAAATACTAAACATAGTGAAGTAGCACTTACGGGGGCAGGGAATGGTATAGTGTGCGGACGGAGCACAAGGAGTCTCCCTGTGAAGAGGTTTGGGCAGTCTTCATGACCCAGTGACCTTGAACTGGGTCTTGACAGGTACAGGAATAAGGCAGAGATGTTTTAGGTAGAAAAAAAGAACAAAGTAAAAAGAAAGAGCTGTTCATTTTATCTTAAAGAGTGATAATGACCAAGGTCCTAAGATAACACAGCATCCCCCCCCCAAAAAAAATTCTAGACTTTTTATATTTAATAAGTTGGTACCTTTAATATAATTTACCAATATTCTTTAACTGAACAATGGTTATCTAAATGTGTTTGTTCAATTTGTAAACATTGGGTACCTGTTCTGTCTCAAGCATTATAGTCTATGAGTTGATGCTTTGTAGATTTGCAGAATGCACAGCTGTACAACTATACCCAATAAGCAAAGCACATAAAACTCTGTCCTTTTGGAGCTTTCATCAGAATGGAAAACAAAGAAACAGAATGTTATTGGATAGTAGTAATTGTGGGGACAATTAAGGAAAGGAGGATAGGGAATGCCAGGTAAGAGGATGTGGTAGTACTGGATCAGAGCACTGACGTTTACATTGGAGCTAAAACCTGAGGTTGTCTAAAGGGGATTTTGGAGGTAGAGGGAACCACCTGCTGAAGCTGTCAGGGTGTCTGGCCTACTTGAATATCAGAAAAAGGAATCAAGAAACTGGAACCATGGGTGTATAGGGGGAATATAGGTGTGTGTAGGCCATTGTGAGCCTTGTATGCCACTGTAAATGCTTTGAGTTTTAGTCAAAATGAAATGTTAAGGTATGTGAAGGTTCGAACAGAGAAGTGACACGATCTGACTTACATTTTAAAAGGATCACTGGCCACGGGTTGAGAATGTGGTCTTGGGAAGCAAGGCAGAAGTAGGGAGACCAGGTAGGAAGTCATGATAATCTAGGGAAAGAAGGTAGTAGTCTGGACCAAAACAGTCCCGGGGAAGTGATAAGAAATAGACACAATCCTGAGCTTGAACTTCCAAGGACTTTAATTTATCATTCCCCTGCCCCCAAAATTTGTTCATAATTATACTAATATGCCTTTTTAATATTATTCTAGGTCAAAGGAGAAAGTGTGGCATGTAGAGAGAAATACAGATTCAATAAAATAACATCACATACTTCAACCACTGAGTTAAATGATCATTTATCGCTTCATTTTTACCTGCTTAGGAAACTTGCAAAGCCTATCAGAAATATAGGTTGTTCAATACAGAAACCATTCCGTAGCCTATAAAACGAACATAACATAGAACTAACATTAGATTAAACACAAGAAAGATTGGAAAGGAGGAGGTGTAATATAGTTTGTCCCATAATGTGTAATGAAAATATGAGCTGAGGATTTCATTTGATTTTGCTTTATTTTGATAGGTTTAAATACTTCTCTTTTCTTTGCATAAGTATGTTTTCATAGTATTTTAAGAGTAAAAATTTTAAGAAGAAAGTATTCAGTACTGCTTCATTTTTTAAAAACATATTTAGGTGGTCCAGTGCCAAGAGACATTTATCAGAGAATTAAAAAACTTGAAGATAAAATCCTTGAATTGGAAGGCATGTCTCCTGAATATTTTCAGTCTGTGGTAAGTATAAATGTCTTTCAAAAGTAAGTATTATTTTAGGATTTTTCATTATATAACAGTTTACTCATTGATCTGTATGTAAAAGACGCTTTTCAATAATTCAAAAGTAAATGACCACAGTTCTGTGCAGGAGAATTACCTAGTTCTCCCAAGTTCTGACTTGACTATTTCAGAAATTTAGAATTTTTAAAGAGATACTTTTTTAATTTTGAAATAGGATCTGACTACATAGTTGAGGCTGCCCTTGAGCTCACTATGTAGTCCAGGCTAGCCTTGAACTTGCAGCAATCCTCCTGCCTCAGCCTCCTGAGTGCTTGGATTACAGGCATGCACCACCATGCCTGGCTATAAGAGATGCTTCTATTATGCATTCTCCAAACCCTTTTAGGCGATTTTCATGGTACAAGAAATCACCTCTGATGGTGGTCAGTGTTGTCACTCTGAACTTGCTGTCAGTTATCCCTCTGTCTATTTAATTTCTTTCTCCCAGATTATTTCCCTCATCAGCTCATAAACAGTTACCACTTCTCCATACTGAACAAGCACACACCTCAAGCTGCCACTCTGTTTCTTTACCTTAACTGTCAGACTTTTTAAAAGACTGGTCTGCACTTGTGTAATTCCTCAGCTCAGGCATTAATTCATTCATTCATTCTTCTCCTTTCCAACGACACTAAGAAAACATACTGATTGATAAGCATCTTGGGTACAGCAGCATTTTTCCAACAATCCTGAGCTCATTGTTTTTACTCAGTCTTCAGAAGTGATTATATCCACCTTTTCTGAGATTTTTTTAAAAGCTGTACTGTACTAGAACTAAAACGATTTAAAGTCAGATTCTACTAAAACTTTATGTAAAATAGCTCATCTTAGCATGGATCGTATAAAATATATTTTAAATTCATTTTAGGTATAATAGCAATGTTTTGAGTATTTGAATTTTAGAAGTATTTACAGAGGAAGAAGGCAGGTCACATAATAAAAAGAAAAAGGGCAGCAGGTCCAAATGACAAAATTCAGAGAAAGAGGTTTATAGATTAATTGCTCTCAAATGTAAAATGAGATTTCTAAAATTACTAAAAGCTAAAGCAAAGATTAAGAAGATACCAGCCATTTAGTGTACTGCCTAGCATGTATTAAAAACCTCAGTAAATATTAGCATTTATTTAAATTTTAGAAACTATATGTGAAGTAGTTATACAAATATGGGTCAGTCTGTTCTCGCGGCTTTCAAATGTCTAAAATTTTTAAAAATTTTTGTTATATTACATAAAGGCCTTTCTACTTTTAGGATTATTTTTTGACTATTTCCTCCTAGAAAACTTCCTTAAAATTTTTGTACTTTTTTTCCTGCAACAGTCTACCATAAGTTTTTCAAGTCAAGCTTCTTTCATTCAGTGATACCTCTGAAAGTTATTTTTCTAGTTCATTTTCATATCTTGTGTATAACATTTGTTGATAGAACTGATCTTATAAGACCGTGTGGTGATATCATGTGTCTCCAGTCAGACCCTTCCATCATAATTTATGTCTTCTCCCTGGCTGTGATTTATAAAAACTTAACATAATTTAGATCTAGCTAACGAAAGAATAAGCCCTCCACATCATTTTGTGGTTTTTTGGATTTTAAAAAAATTTTTATTTTGAATCTGTTACATATAGGATAGAGTAGTATTTGTGTAGAAGGTAGACGTAATCAGATGTAGGAAACTTTAAATATACTTTTGAGAGACAAATATGTAAAATTCTGCAAGAAGTAGCCATGTAGTCTCAGTATGAGGATGGTGCGGGTGAAGAGTAATGTGCTGCGTCCTCTGTGGAGCACTCAGAGTGCTCAGCTCTGGTCAGTGCAGGGAGCTGCCTTGAACGGGCTGTATTTCATTCGAGTGCGGCTCCTAGAGAAGACTCATTCATTGTATTTCAAAAGGGTGAATATGAAATTTTAAAATCTATTTAAGATCTGCTTTAAATCAGTTTTCTAGGGTCAGAGAATGGGTATCTGTTGTAAACATTTGAACAGAGAAATGACTTTTGAAAAAATATTTATACAGATTTATTTAATACTGTTATACAAGATCAGTGAAAAGGGAGAAACTAAGGTCAAGGAGACAACATTGTACTTGCTTAGATTTGTAGTCAGTTCCTGCAAGGGGAACATGAATGACAATAGAAAAGGCTAATGCAAATAGGAAAGAATACAGGACAAATACTGATGATTTATTATGGAATAAGAGCAAGGATCACTCCACCTTCTGACTTGAAAAGTGATAGAAACAAAAAATGTAAAAGAGGGGTATTTTTAGGTGCATATGAATTTGAAGTCATAGGGGGATCTAAAGTTAGAAATATCAGGTAAGCTTTTGGAGAAATGACTTACACTTAGCTCAGAGAGTCTGTGTAGAGGTACTAGTTAAAACACTGATGGGTAGGCTCACTGCTGCTGTCAAAGGCCTGAAGTCTAAAGCCTGGTGACTACCTCACTTCAGGGCAGGAAGCCTTAGAAATGTAGACCGAGGACTGACTAGATGACTTAAGCATTAAAAAAGGGTGTGATGGTAAGCTAAGATGCAGCTAGCGCTTTTCAAAAGTATTTCCAAATCTGTTAAAAGTAATATATCTTTGATTAGAAGAATCATTTCTTAATTAGTGTTAGAAATGTTGTATTTAAATAACAGTCAGGTAAAAGGACATGTACAAGTAGAAAGGTTTAGACATTCAAAGTGCCTCTGTCCTCCAAGCCTGCAGAGATTGGCATACACCGTAAGGAAAGAGTCTTCTCTGGGAGCTGCACTCGAATGAAATACAGCCCATTCAAGACGGCTCCTTGTGCTGACAGGAGTTGAGCATACTGAGTGCCCTACACATTAGACTAATGTACACTAGCACATTACTCTTCACTCACACCATCCTCATACTGGACTCCATGGGTACTTCTTACAGAATTTTACATATTTACCTCTGAAAAGTGTATGTGTAGCACAGTTCTATAGCTTCTAAAGTTAGAAGTTAAAGGAAAGTTGAAACCATTACATTTCTTAAGAATTGAACCTTTATTAAAAACGTGAACTTCTGAACTCTAAAGATTTTAAGTGAAATGTGGTTATCTAGATTTGGTTGTCAGTCACTTCTAAACATGGAGAAACCTTAAAATTGCGCGGAAATTGATTGTTATGGATAACATGAGAGCATAGCATATGGAAAGGTAAACATTAACAGTAAAAATTATAAATTATATTCACCTCATAAAGCAAAACTAGGTTATATGAAGGTCTTTTCATTTAGTGAAATACCTGAAATTCCAAAATAAGTTACAATGCATATAAAATAGTAATTATGAAAAATATTAATATTTGTTGCATCTTTTAATGTAATTTTTTCAAAAATCTTTAACCTTTGTATTAAACATGGAAAAGTTTTACTGTGCTAATGTTTTCAAACTTTAAGAGCGTGGCTTAATAGACTATTAAAAGATCTGATATGAGTATTCCCAAAGACGGACTTTAAACCATGACATTTGAAAACAGCGAGTAGAACATGCTTTACAAATACATTTTCACACACTTTGTTCATTTTATAGCACTTATCACTTACAGTTATGTGTTTGTACATATTGTATATTAAACCTCTCAAAGCCAAGAACTGTGTCTTGTTTGTCTTTGAACACATGAAACATAGTACCATTGAGTACCGTGAATGAATGTATAGCACATGGTTGATACTTACTTACTAGACTCCAGAAGGTATATTAACATTGCCACAAAGCAGTTTTCAGACATAATTTTTAATCACTAATGGTAAGAAACTCCTGGTTCTAAAGTGGAAGAGGAGTTTGATGGGAGAGGAGTGTGCTAAAAGCCAAGTCAACATTACAGCCACAGATCGTGTATGTGTGAAAGTTCATGGCGGGCCTGAACAGTGAACAGTCATATCCAGGTAGAAAATTAAATTGTGTATACACATTTTGGTAGGCCTTAACAGTCACACTAGCTAGTTTGTACTTCCAATATTATCAAAGTACAATTAAGGTTTTGAGAAAGAAAGAAGAACCTGTGATTTAGATTCCTATCTGGTAGCATTATGAAGTTAAGTGGAATCAAGGAAACTAGTTTAGAAACCATGTCAGGTCATCCAGGTTAGAGAGAAATGAAGCATTGCATCAAGACAGTGACAGTATAAGGAAAAACCAAATGTTATATGTATAGAATCAGTTACCCTTTACAACTGGTTAAAAGAAGAGAAGGTAACTGGTTGAGGAGAGGCCTCTTTACTCTTGAATTTCTTTAGAGCATTCATTCCCTGGACATATGTATATGACATGTTTTCATTAGGCTATAGGCATCGTTGATGTGGCTGTAGATTACCTGCCATGGTATAATATTGGGAGAGAAGAGACAATTTTGAATTATCTCTGTGCAGTTGTTTTTATGCTGTGCTCATATTTTCTCTTCAAAACTTGTTAAAATTGCTACCTTTTGCATTGAGATGTAGTACTTATATCTTCATAAAAAAATTTTAAATCCAGTCTACATGTGGAAATATTCTACTCAGACCTAAAATGAGCCCCAGTCATTTTATTATGTTTTTAAGCCATTGATCCATTGATACCCTTATTCTCCTCATTCTGATATTTTTCATTTTGATTTCATGATACACAAATAATCTGATTGCTTAATGTTATAATGTGTGTCTGGATGTTCCTCCAAAGCCTCATGCAGTCATAGGTGGGACTTTTTCAGAGGTGTCTAGATCTAGAGTGTGTGATACTAGAATTGATTCATGGTGCAATGCTAGGCTCAAGGGCACTACGATTAAGGATGTGAGTGCTACCTGCCCTAAGTAATCTGGATAAGATAAAAGGAGCAGAAAGGTACTGATAGGTCCCTTGTTGCTTTTGCTGAGTGGAATGAACTGTTACTCCTCTGTAACACCCCTCCAACATGTGCCACTCTGCCTTGGAGCCAGCCAACTATTAACTGAAATCTCTGCAGACTGTAAACCAAACTTTTCCTCCTTTAACTTTGAGTGTTGGGTATTTTGTCTCAGCAACAAGAATAAAGTAACTAAGACAGAATTTGATACCAGAGAAGTGGGGTCGTTGCTGTGACTGTACCTGACCATGTGGTTCAGGAACCTTTGGGAATGCTTGTGGGAAGAGTTTGGAAAGGTACAGAGATGCCAGCTGAAAAAGCAGAGTAGGAACACCTTTGGCTGTCCTTAATGGGAGATTCTCAGAAGACAAGAAGGCTGATAAAAATCCTGCCAGTAAAAACTAGGCTCAGGAGGTTTCTTCCAGGAAGAAGGACTGCATTGGTTGTTGGACTCCAGATGACGTTATGCTTAGCAGAAAGTTTGTATTTTGTTGGTGTCCAGAGACTTGGCCTAAGACTGAGAATAAGAGAGGTAGACTAATTAATCTAGCAGAAGAAATTTCAAGGCAGTGTAATATTGAGCCAGTGGCATAGTTACTGTTGAGGGTTTTTAGCCAGATTTATGTTGAGAGTCAAGAGCAAAGAGCCCAATAGAATGGTAAAAAACATTTTGAGTTTGGCCAGAGAGGAAGTCCAGTAAAGCTGTGGACTGCAAAGATAGAGCAGATGAGATCTTGATTGCTGATGGCATCCTCAGAACCAGCAGGACTCCAGCCTTTGCAACTTCAAAATTGCAAAAGTAAAAGACTTCGCTTTGAGAAGAAAGACCCAGAACAGAGCACCATGTTCCAGAGTGGTGGCTTAGGGAAATTGTTCCTTGGGATTCATAAGCACTTACAGCCAAGAGGGAAGGAAGCCTGGCTCCTGCTCCAGCTGGCAGCAAACTCTGGAGTCATCTATATGTGCTGATTTTAGGCTCATGCAGAATGCAAGAGTTGTAGGGTCAGAAAGGCTTCCACTCAGATTTCAGAAGAAGATCTTGGGAGGCCAGGCAGTTATGTCCCTATGAGAGTAGTGTGTGAAGCTGAGTGTGAAGATGAAGGTGCAGTGGGTTTGGAGAAGCCAGAAGTGTGGATCATCTGAGGAAAACTACAGGGAAAGATAGAGCAGGCCCCAGAGAAAAGCTGTGGGAACTATAACCACTGGAAGTGCTGAAGGGGTGGAACCACCCAAGCCCTTTGGAGTTCATAACTTGCCACAGATTGCTGGGTATGCTGGAACTGGACATGTGGGATTTAATGTTTGCCCTGCTGGTTTTTGGACTTGCTTTATTCCCATTCCTTTCTACCCTACCCCCATTTGTAACTTTTGGAATAGAAATGTCTGTCTTGTACCATTGAATATTGGAAGTGTTTAACTTTCTTTTCATTTTTGCATGAGGCTTGCAGCTAAGAGTATGCCTTAAATCTCAGAGAAGACTTAGAGTTGGACTTTTCAGCAATGCTGAAACTGTTACGACTTTGGCAACTCTTGGAGATGGACTAAACGTTTTTGGGGTTTTTTTTTTTTTTTTGGCATAAAGCAATATGCATGAGTCTTTGGGGGGACAGGGGCAGAATGTTATGGCTTGTATTTAAATGTCCCCCCAAAGCCTCATGTAGTCATAGGTGGGGCCTTTTCAAAGGTGGCCAAATCTGGAATGTGTGATGCTGGAATTGATTCATGGTACAGTGCTAGGCTCAAGGGCACTAGGATTAAGGATGTGCGTGCCACCTGGCCTAAGTAGTCTGGGTAAAATAAAAGAGGCAGAAAGATGCTGTTAAGGTCCCTCACTGTTCTGTCTTTTGTGTGCATCTCTGCCATGTGCCACTCTGCTTTAGAGCCAGCCAACTGGACACTGAAAGTTCTACACACTGTGAGCCAAATAAACTTTCCCTCTGACATTGAATGTGGTGTATTTTGTCTCAGCAGTGTGAAAAGTAAGAAAGACACTCAATGATACAGAAAATACCAGTATTCTACAGATTAAACTATTATGACCACAAAGGGAAGTGTATTTTCATCCCGTATATAAAAAGCCACCCCTTGGGAAAGTAGGGAGACTGAGCAATGAAGAAATTAAGCATTAAGCCCTTACCTGCCTCAGGACCCCACCATGGGTATCTAGCTTAGTTTGGTAAAGGAAGGAGCATATTTGTCTGAGCTCTGTTATTCCATAATTAATAGCTCAAATACTTAATGATTTCCAATTGTTATTATTGATGAGGCATATCTGTCTATCTATCTATCTATCCTTTTCTAAATCTCAGTGGTTAGAAATATTCATGAGAAGATTTTGCAACCTGCATTCGGTTTCATCAGATACACTAATTTGGCATTCAGAAATTTGAGATGTTTTGAAACTAAGAGCAAAGAACAGAAAGAATTCATTAGATGAAAGTTCAAAAACCAGTCTATCAGTGTGAATGTTGTCATCTGTACCTAAAATTTGAGTTCAAACTGGCTCAAACAGTATGGAAATATCTTATAAAATAGGACACCCAATGATAGCACAGTCTTCAGAGTTCATTAATTTGGTGGCTAAATCATAGATATCAAAGAACTGAGTTCCTTCTCTTCAGCTCTGCTTGATGTTGACTTCTTTCTCAGGCAGATGACAGGGCAACAGTAGCACATCCAGGTGCCTTATCCAGGTACAGCAGTGTCCATAGGAATTGGCTCTTGTAAGTGCTTTCTTTCAACAGAGAGGAGGAAGCTTTTTCTATAAGGTCACTTCTTAATCCCCAGCAGACCTCTTACCCATGGGCAGAATTGGGTCCATGCTCATTTTAGTCACTGATAGGACAGTGAATGGATCAACATTCCCTTGACTCATACAGAGAATCAGTGGGTAAAGAGTTGCTTGCAGAGACAGCCATAGTGCTCATTATAGTCAGTGGAGCCTGACTCTGTGTGTGTGTGTGTGTGTGTGTGTGTGTGTGTGTGTGTGTGTGTGTGTGTGTGTGTAGTCGGGGGAGAGTTTGCACCCGTTGGCCTAATAGACCAAATTTTATTTTCCTCTATTGTTGCTTCACTTGTCCAATATCCTGGAATACCCAGGTTATAAAAAAGAAACTAAGTAGAAAAACCCCAAGAGCACTTCTTTCTAAAATGACAAAGGCTGATACGAAGCTGGCAATTAGTGGGAAAGTATGCACTGCTTGAGACAAGCATGCTGTTGCACTGTTACCACGTACTGTATACGTTAAATTGGTAGTGGGTATCAGGTACACAAAGAGCTTGATGAGTTTGTAGACTAGTTTCTGTCAGAGTTCCCAAAGGCTATATTTTATTCAATATGCTGTAAAGGAAATATTATGCTTCTATTTTCTAAACATTTATTATTTACTTTTTTTTTCTTTTTTTTTTAACCTTTAAAACTAGAACTTTCCTGGAAAAAGAAGAAAAGTTCAGCCACCACAGGTAAGTTACTCCATTGCCATTTTGGCTTGTGCAGTAAATTAATTAGGTTTATAGCTCATTAATAAAAGTTTGTACTGTGCTTGCCTTTCGGTCATGCCTTGGTAAGATTTGGGACTGAAGAAAAGCTGTGCAGTACAAACTAGTATAATTGAATTGGAGCTAGAATTGTATTCAAGGGCATTCAATGCAGTGAACTAAGACGGGTTAAATTTAAAAATCCTTATCCTGCTTATACTACACTTGCTCTTAGCCCAAAGGCCAAGAAGTGATAGGAAAATCTATCAGCTACAGAATCCTTAAAAATAGTAAGTCCTAAAGTCTTCTCCCATTCCCCCTTGTGAAGAGCAATTAGCAGGATCCAAAAAGAAAGTGTTTGTCAGGATGACTTCAGCCAACCTCTGTTGAAAATACTACTATATTAATTTGTTGAATCTTAAATAGTAAGATTCTACTCTTAATAGTGGTAATGTGAATTTAAAGTGGGGGAAAACATGAAAAGATTTTTTTGGCTGTTTTTTCCCTTGCAGTGCTAGTGATCAAACCCAGAACAGCCAGGTTTTTCCCAAAGTAGTTGATCCCTCAGAAATGAATTTCTCAGTACTGCAAGCTTAAACTAATCTTAGAGTTTAATATTTTACTATTGATCATAAAAGCATTGTTTCACCCCCAAAGTTGTTCTAGCCTTTTAAAGTACAAAAAGATTCAGGAGAGTTTTTCCCTAGGCAAGAGAAAGACATATTTAAGCCTTGTTATTTTATACCTTTTTTGATTTATGATATAGTCACTATATATAGGTAGTTTTAAAAATTATTCTCATCAGAATAAACATTTCATCATGCTGCTGAATATTTTAAATATTTATAGTTCATTTAGGACTATCTGCATTAAGATACTTCAGAGTCTTATTCAGCAATTTGTGTTATTGTTTATAGCAGAACTATTCACTGGCTGAACTTGATGAGAAAATTAGTGCCCTCAAACAAGCCCTGCTCAGAAAATCAAGAGAAGCAGAATCTACGGCAATTCACTACTTTCCGTTAAAAATGCCTCTCATTCTTGTCATTTTACTTTTTTATATAAATATGTGTAACTGACTCTGTAATTAATTGGATATATATTTATCAATATAACCTTTTTCTGTGACACCAGATACTCCTCAAGTACTCCAGTGAGTTTAAAATCATGGATGTATTGAAAATTGCATTGTTGGAACTATTCCTTTCTCTTTTAAAGGAGGCATTTTGGGAATTTAAAAAATTAATTTGTAACTACTTTTTTTGGTGGACCACAGAAAGGAAGATTATTGTGATACTGATATTTAAAAGGACTTTATAATGTTGATTAACCAGTTTATTAGATTAGTTTAAATCAGTACTTTGCATTTAATGTGCATTCAACACGCAATTTATTGACTGAAATGAATTTTTAATGTGTATATATGTATATAGTTTTCTTTGTCAGATGTCAGTGCTACTGTAAATAAATAATGAATCCAGCTGTATTCCTTTATTGAATGTGATCTTGAACAAGTTACTTATTCTCGTTTTGTGTCCTAATTTCCTGATTGGTAAAAGGGGAATAATAATAATAGAACCTACTTCATTGGTTTGTTTGTTTGTTTGTTTGTTTGGTACCGGGAATCGAAGTCATGACCTTGCGTTTGCCAGGCACATGTTTGTGCCCCTGAGCTATGTCCCTGAGCCTGGCCTTTTGTTGTTGTTGTTGTTGTTCATTGGTTTTTAAGAAGCATTTATGGTTTTGAAACTGCCCCAGAGGAATTGCTCAGTAAATTTCAGCTATTATTAGTGAATGAAACCTGGTCTATCTCTGAATAGTAGTAAAAGTTTTACAAAGAAATTATATTGTCATAGTTGGAAATTAAATATTTAAAAGGTGCGACTAAAGTTATGTCCAGTAGTTCAAGGAGCAGCTATTTAGGTCTAGAATAATTTGTGAGAATCAGAAGGGTACCTAAAATTGCTTGTAAACTGAGAATTTTTTAAAAAGAAAAGAATTAGAAATCTAGAACTTAATTGAAAAAATGTATAGCCGAACATTGTAGAAGCTAGAACATCACCAGCAGTGACTTTTTCTGTGTCTCTGACTGCCCCTTGGCCCTAATTCTCTCTAATTCTGTCTCGGTGACCTGTTTACTCTCTTTGTTCTCCTTTTCCCTCTGGGTGCTTCTCCCTCTTCCTTGTTCTCTTTCTGCTATTGGTAATCTGTGCATGTACTATATTCTTTGAACTGGTTTCTCTCCACTTTCCCACATAGGGAGACATGTTACTCCTGTTTCCTTTGCCCCAGTTCTGCCTTTGACTAGCTTTGGTACAGACCCATAACCCAGCTGTAGAATCTCACAACCCCAATAACCACTGTTTACTTCCCTCCTTATAGCTCTTTCAAATTGTTCAGAGATTAAATGAGTCTAATAAGGCATCTCAACTAGTTGTGTGTAGGATGCTGGGGCAGGACCTACCTGTTCATATGAACATGCAGTGTACACAAAACCTTATAGTACGACTATGGGAACCGTGAAAATATTGTCACCAGGTAAGTGAATGGTGAATTTGGAATCAATCCCAAGAAGTATATATAGGCTAGGTTGGTTCCACTATATTTCATCTCTGTAGAATAAACTCATCCTTCAAAATATTGCCTCGTATCCAACATTATAGGTGCAGCTACAGATGCCATCTCCCTAGTTTCCATCTGGCCCATTTGATCAACATCCTACCAGAATGATCTCTTCCAGGTTTACTGATACATTTTACTAGCATCATAACCACCAAGATAGTGTGAGAGATGGTATTAAAAGTTATCGATTAGAGGCCAGGGATATAGCCCAGCAGTACAAGTGCCTGCATGGCAAGCTCAAGGTCCCGAGTTGAGCTGATTCCTGATACAAAAAAAAAAAAAAAAAAAAGCAAATTATCAATTAGAAAAGGAAGTTGACTTAGAGGTAGGGAAAAAAACCTAGAAAACATGCAGATCGCTGGTCCAGACCGCTAAATGCCATGAGTGAGTTTCTTGTCTCCCGTGGCAGTAGCAAAAGTTCCTGTCTTGTCTGACAGTCCTAGGGTCTGCCCATTAGGAAGGTTTCATTGTTTTAGGCCTGCTCTCCTAAGGAACAATGGGAAGGAGTCCTTTCCATTAAGTATCGTCCACTTGAGTCTGGAGCCTACAGAAGAGGCCAGGACTCGATATATGTTGATGTGAGTTGGTACTTGGTGAAGAGTAAGCTTCCTCTGGTGATCGCTACCCCAGAACTTTAGTGGGCTTTCAATCATTGTCTTTCTCAAGTGCGTGACTGATTGAAAGATAATGACAAGCATTTTTGTAGGATAAATTTACTCTTAATCACCAGGCTTCCTAATGACTATTCCTTTAGGATTATTGTTAGCTCTTCGTATCCCCATTGCCTCTTCCTAATGGCCTTGTCCTCGAGAGAAAATAAGGACAGTGATTGCAGAGAGGCTTAGTTGTAGGAACAGGAAAGTACCTCTTCCCTACACTGTCTCTACGAACCCCGAGCCCCTCCCCTCCACAGGTTACATTCCAGTCTGTGAAAGTGTTTCTTCACGAGGGGTTGGGCATCAAGGTTTTATCCTGTGGGAAAAGGTTGGGCTCCCCGAGCTTATTCTGGCTATTGCTGGTACTCCGTCACTAGGCTCCTGAGGTTTTTCAAACTCATGAATAACATCCCAACCTCATCCTTTGCAGTCTCAGCAGAAAAGAATTCCCTATGAAATGTCTTTCTGGCTTCTGTGCAGTTTAGGTCTACTCAAGGCTTTGGGCCCCATTTTGATGCTAGTTCTGTCTTACCTCTTTGGCTATAGTATCCATTGTTTCCTTTATGACTTAAAATCTGAGGAAAGAATTCATATTCTCAGTGTGGGCCAGCTGTCTGCCCTAGAACAGTTAGTAACCTCTGGCTTGACTGGTAAAGTCAAGAGCAGAAGTGCCATATGCAACCACTCCTTCATGGAATAAAGGACACTTCCAACAAAGGACATGGGTTGGGAACCTGACCTCTGATTTAATTTAATCAATGATTTAGACTGATTAACATATAGTTGGCCTTTATAAAATTTGTCCTTCTTAAGAAATACTTTTTTTAAATGACCTTAACCAAAAATGTTTTATGATCCTAGGGATAGTATCCAGATTCATTGGAAATGATTTTATTTTGGGTTTTTTTTTTTTTTTTGAGCAGTTCTAATATTTTATAACTTTTGGTCATAGATACCTATCAAAGGTCAAAGGAAAAATTAACTTTTTTTCTCAGAGCTGAGGAGATGGAATCCAAGGCCTAATGCTCACTAAGCAGGTTGCTCTACTACTGAACTACATCCCCAGCCTGAAAATATACTTTTTAAAAATGAATAAAACTCTTTGTCCTTTCCACTGGGTTCCTTAGACTTTTATAAATCTTATATCATGAAATCTTTGTGATTTATACTTTTTGAAACAACTTGTAATTATCCCAGGAATTATTTATCATTCCTAAGCAATTCCCAGCTATGCAAAAAAAGAAAAGAAAAAGAAAGACTAAGGAAATGGAACAATGATTGGATCTCTTTAAAGGATAATACAATAACATAAATTATCACTAGTATATCATCCTTTGGTTTTCATATAGCCCAAAGTATTATTGTATCATCTTTCAAAAAAGTATCTATGCTTTGGACAAACACCATCTTTTGAGTCTTTGTCCCCATTAGCTTGCAAGGAATATTGTTGAAAGTGAAGAATGTTTTGGTTTTTGCTTTTAATGGGAAGTACTAGAAGAAAACAGGAATTTCTATCAATTATTAAAGGATTCTGAAGGTGAATGCAGAGACAAAAGGCAGTATTCTAGGTCCTAATGACGAAACCTGGGAGTTGGTCTTGTAAACGAAACTCAGACCTTGAGTCTTCAGATGCATATTCTAGGTAAATGTTCTCATACTCAGGAATGAGTGAGTGACTATATATTTCCAAGGACAACAAAGAAATGTGGTGTTTTCATCCAAGCACTCAACAGGAAGGGCTTAACCGTGCAATATCTTATGATAAGGACCTGAACCATCTCATTTTGCTGAATGATGATGAGTATTCTTTCGGCTTTTATGGTCCCCCCATCAAATTTACTTAATATAACTTCTAAGCTGAGAAATGCTTAGGGCAGTCATGTACACAGAGGTGAATGGGTGGAATTAAACGATGTAAAAATGAAAAAACTCAGTGGACTAATCATTTTAATTGCTACTGATAAATCTAAAAATCAAAATATTGCAATAATTACCATCCTTCAAGAAAACATTTTTGTGAGACTTTTCTAAAGTATAATGTTTGGGCAGTATGAAAATAAGAAGAACCAGAAGATATAAATTAAAACCTAGTAGAAATGTATCTGGAATCTGGAATCACTATTTATAAAATGGCTATATTCCAGGTTTATTAATATAAGTGGCTAGCGGATAATTACGTTCAACCAACATTGCCCATTTTTAGTAAACATTCTTTTAAAACCAAGAAAATATGAAATAAAACATGTTCACTTTTTTAAAATTCTTACTAAAATTTTTAATACTTTAAAAATTATATACTTGGGTCTAAATTATTCATAAAATAGCTTGTTATACTTAATTTTAAGATTCATTACAACTAGATGTAAATGGTAACTAATCTGATACATGGACAGTTAAAATATATTTTTCAAATCTGGAGGGAGATCTTTGTAAAAATCCTTATATCTAACATTAAATTTCAAGTAGGAGCACTTTCAAAAACAATCCAACCTTGTAGAATAAAAATGCTTCAAATGTTCTTATTCTTAAAACATGCTGCTTTTGGTAAACACAGCACTGTCTGGAAAATCCAATTTATGAGAAGTACTAGTTTTTTTGTCTTTAAATGGTCTTTCTAGGATGGCCTTTAGGTACACCATTATAAATCATTAAAAAATAAAAGGTTTTTCCAAGTTATCTTAAAATTAAAAATTTGAATATTTATGTGATTTTGTGCTATGAAATAGGGTTAGTAAATGTTTGCCATGCTAGAATGATGAAATTGTGAGCCCACTTTAAAATATGAACTGTTTTAAATGTAC